CTCGCACCTGACAATTGACATCAAATATAGCAGAGTAAGTTCCAACCGGAAACAGAAAGAGTGGAGGGTGTTGCAGAGTAAGGAATTGTTGCACTCACCATCGTCTTCAGACAATCCCAATCGTCGACCAGTGGCTGGCCAGAGCCTCTAGCAGCCTCGAGCACCGATGGCCCCTTGTCGAATCCAAAGACAAGCTTCCCGATGAAATCGATACTGGTGTCGAGATGCTTCCTGTGCAGCACGGTTTCTTTGACCTCCCTGAGAGCCCTCTGCTTCTCTTCTGATCCCCCATTCAACTTCTCATACTGAAAGCCAGAAGATACATCAGCAGACAAACTAGTCAAAACAAAACACATGAAACTTAGTACTGTAACAGACAAAATGAACTAGACAAGAAATACTAAGTGGGATTATTGTTACCTTCTTCCACATGAAGAGAATATCGGCATCTCTTTGCTTGATTGCACCCTTGAGGCTGGGCATAGGCAGCGGCCTGTTTCTGATGCTTGACTTTGCAGGATCGAAACCTTGGTAGAGAAAAAGCATGTCATCCTTGAAAGTCTTGTCGCCATACTCCATGACATGAGAACCTTTAATGGACTCGTTTCGGGGTGCCGTTCTCGCTTTAACCACCTCGTACTGCTGCTTGATGGTCTCGTTCTTTAGATTGTGAGTATCACTGCAAATTAAGCAGGATCGAATGGTTCAGAATAGCAAGCAAGCATCATGGTTGTGGGTAACTGCTAGTACAAACTTGTACTCCCTCCGTAAACAAATATAAGAGCATTTAGAATACTAAAATAGTGATCTAAACACTCTTACATTAGTTTATAGAGGGAGTACTAGATATATTACAGCTAGCTGATGATTATTACCTGTCTTCCATCCAAGACACACTGTATAGGTCACCTAAACAGGTAAAATATTCAGGAGGAGGTGGCGTTCCATCCTCAGGGCAGTATGCTGCCCAGCTACTTTCTACCGCATTTGATGCCGTTGTAACATAAATATTATGATCTTGTGGCATCAAACCCTCAAAGATGCTGCCACTTTCACACGCTTCAACATATATGACCTGCCAAAATTGTAGTAATTCTCATTATAGATGGGACTCAAAGCATACATGCCGTTTCAGATTAAAACACAATAATCCTTATTTAAGGGAAAAAGAAAAGAAATGATGCATGCCATTTTCGAATAGCCTTTGGAAGCATGCTTTTGCCGTAACACTTTGATGAAGTCGTCAGCATAAACATCTGGCCCGTTGGGCATACCTACAAGCTTGATAAAGTTAGCTAAGTTTATAGTGCAAAACATATCAGCTGAACTACAATGTCGTTTAACTATGTGGGATTATGCATGCATGTACCAAGTGAACCAGGAGACCCATGATCCGAGTAGAAGATGAAGATGTGATCCTCTGGTTTGCTGTTTATCACCTTCCTACTCCCTCCGGTAACCGCGGTTTTGTTCCCCAGGAGAACCGCATACAAGTTCTTGGCAGTGACCTGGTCACCGGTGTAGTCCTGTAAAAAAGTTGATCAGATCAGTCATTGGTGGGAATTTAGGAGTACAACGCCATTCATTCTTTACATCAAACGACACTCTTGTTTGAATTAAAGGGAACTAATTATACCTTGGGAACGCCATGGTAAACATCTTTGCCTTTAGGATGGTTGATGACGGTTCCACGTCTTGGGTTGTCAGGGCTGTTGGCGATGTCATCGTACATGAACACCACAATGTTCTCATCCTTGAGTCCTCCCTTCTTCAGGATCTGGTACGCGTGGCACACATCGGCCTGTACGTCGTACGTGCGTCAACAACACGAGTATCATTGAGCAAGCACTCACAGAATTTTGACACACGCTGCCATAATTTTCATACGGTGAATGAATGATATACGAGCTGCATTGAGGACTCTCACCTGGTGCCTGTAGTTCTCGTAGCCGGAGGAGCCGGCAACGAGCACGGCCCACTTGGTCACCCCTTCCTCCGCCGCCGACGCGGCAGGGCCAGGCGCAGGGGCAGGGGCATGCCCGTTCTCCGTCGGCAGCCGGATCAGGGGCTCCGAGTACCCCACCGCCAGGAGAGGGAGGAGTCCACAAACCCACCATGCAGCCATCGCCACCCTCGAGTTCATCATGTGCGTGTGCTAGAGCCTAGTAGAGAGCAAGAGAAGGCAGAGAGTGAAGTGTGATCGCTCCGGCGGGGGCCGGGGCCGGGGCCGCATTTTATAGCCGCGGCGGCGTGCAGTGCAGGGAGTGAAGTGTGATGGTCGATCGCCTGGCAGTTGGCTCGCGCGGGCGCGCAGGCGCAGCGCCTCCGTATCCGTAGTGGGGTTTGCGTGGCGTGCACAGTTTCCCATTTTTTGACTTGATAATGCCCGCCTAAACTTGCTAAAATGCCGTGATCTCCGCCGTGGCCAAGCACCGGCGGTGGAGGCTAGCGTGATGGATTAGCGGACGATGATAAGAGGAAAGGGCACGCTACTGTTTCTTCATGATGCAGCTTTTGCAGATGATGGAAGGATGGCAGAGGAACGTGATCAACTCACGATGACGCGGACGGACTTCTCGGCTAAAAAATGAAGAATAGGATGTGCGAAGGAACTGCCCACTCGGCACCGGCGATGGCGGTTAGCACCATGAATTAGCAGGCGGACACAGCTCCGTGGTTTGGGTGCATCCATGGCACGGAAGGGGAAAGGAGAGGTACGGAGATGGCGAAAGCTGCATCCGGGCAGTGCCTGTTGAGGTGCCTAGCTAGTCAAGCAAGCAAGCAGGCGCATGATGTGAACCGACTTTTTGAAGAAGAAATACACTCCTATATAAGTAGAATGTGCGACCACTTGAGAGAGGGACAGCGTATGCACTTCTTCGCTGCAGCTTGAAAACGTGAAGGACTCACCTAGTCCCCAGATCCTTATCAATAGCAAATTAGGAATTAGAAAATGTGAACAAATATATGCTTGTACACTGCGGTTTTTAATAGACCACGTACGTGTCCGTGCATTGCCACGGGGTTCAAATATTTTTTAGCACAATAAGACGACCATCCAAGGCAAATCTTCATGCAAAACAAATACACAAAATAAAATAATGTTTTGGTTATATAAAGCATAATTTTCTGTCATTTCTTATTAAACTGGAAAAATAGGTATGAACAGTGATTGATCTGCTTCGTTGGGTCACCAAAGATAAGTATTGATCGATATTTATTTGTCCATAGACAAGAATTTATTGCTATTTATTTACTTACCAAAGATTAGGTTGCTTAAAGATAGGAAGGGACGGGAAACCGGAATACCCGGTAAACGGTGGGAGGTTGGACGAAGGGACGGTGAAAAGAAAATAAAAAATGAAACCTTACATTTTTGTTTAGTGTTAGAGATTAGAGAAGTAGAGAAGAGATAGCAAAATGTTGGATGTTGTAGTAATGGCTTCGACCCTACTTAAGGTCCCTCTTCATATCCTACGTATGATGCCACATGAATCGGTCAACACGAGTCAAGGAGGCTAACAATAGTCCAAGCTTCCGTGAGACCAAACAATCCATCCTGGTCAACGAAAGTCCAAGCAAATTCGCATGGTCAACACGTCAAAGTAAGAAAAGCTCATAAAAAGCTAAAACTCAAACAACCAAATTAGTGTAGGGATCTCCCCTTAGTGGATTACAAGCTACAACACATTTCGAAACCCAACCAGAGACCTATGGGACCAAAGGGCACAAAATTACCTATATTTACTCTCCCACCTCCTCTCCTCAACGTCCTGGTCATTTGTCAAGGACCCTTCTAAACTATACAAGGCCTCTCATGATCATGTAAATCATTCACTCCTACTTCAATAAATTTGTCGGACTAATCAGGCAGATAAAATCTATGCTAGTACACTAGATTTTGAATAGAAATATCGGATGGTGTAGTAATGACTTCGACCCTACTCGAGGTCCCACCCTCTATGAGGTCAACAAAGGTCAATGCTGGTCAACATGAGTCAAGGAGGTCAATGATGGTCCAAGCAAGCCCCCACGGGACCAATGAATCAATCCGGACAACGAAATTCCAAGCAAGTCTTCATGTTCAACAAGTCAAAGTAAGAAGAAATCAAAATCAAATTTCTCACACGCCGCTTCAAAGAGTCATTAATCAAATCAAAATTGATGCGGGGCAATGGACTGCCCATCACCAAGACCCAAACTCTTGAATTGACGTCATTTCTCTAACTCATCGGCGATCATCTTGATCCTCGCAGTCCTAGATGATTCCTTACCAACAACAGATGTGGGTGCCCTTCCTACTGGTCACATAACTCTACCATGACCACCACTACGTCCTTGAAACAGCGACCACAACCTCTGCCACACCAGTCCAGACCTCTACTACGGCCTCCTCCTATCAGTTGTAGCCAGGCTGCCTTCAAGTGTCCTAGTTGGCCACATTTGAAGTACTTCCTGTCATAAGTATTTGTCCCTTGTCTTGTCACAAATAAGTCCTATCAACAAGGTGTCACTTAGAATATTGATGAAGTCACAGCTCCAAATGCTCCACATAGTAAGAATCCAGCTATTGAAAAGGCACCAACAAGGAAATGGAAGGTCTTAGCTTCTAAGCCTCCTCCTAAGCCAAGAGCTCCAAGGAAGAGACCACCAAAGATTGTGGATTCTCAAGAGAAAGAGCAAGAAGTGGATGAAGTCACAGCTGCTCAAGCAAAGGTTGCAGCCAAATTGCTAAGTGATGCTTCAAGTGGCCAAGCTAGAGCCACTAGAGCTAAAGGAAAACCCACACACTTCTGTTAATTAGTAATTGCCTTTCAATTGATTGTAGTGAAACACTGAAACTTACAAAGGCACGACCACAAACTACTGATTAACCCAACACGACATGGGGCGCATCGTTGGGTGGTTTCTTGGAAATCAGTGCATGTATGTACACCATATGAGGTCTAGGAACCTCTGGAGCATTTGCTACTTGCTCCTCTGTACTGCAGTGCAGCGGATCAAGCACTGTGCCCTACAGCCAGTGGGCTCCACTTGGCCGAGCCGTAACCGCCACAAGCGCTGATGCTTGCTTCCCTCATTTCGGCCTCGGAGATGCCATTGTTGCACATGTTTGCAAACGCCCTCATGTGTTTCATGCCATACTGAGTAAGTGATCCACACTGGGATTCGAAAACTCGGACCTGACAATTGGCATCAGCACAGAGTAAGTTCAACCGGAAACAGAAAGAGTGAGGGAGTGCAAATGGTGAAGGCGAGCAACAGCAGAATCTCCATGTGTTGCATATTTATGGAATTCAAGTAAGAAACTGTTACACTCACCGTCCTCTTCAGGCAATCCCAATCGTCGACTAGTGGTTGGCCAGAGCTTCTAGCAGCCTCAATCATTGAAGGCCCATTTTCAAATCCAAAGACAAGCTTCCCGATGAAATCGATACTGCTGTCGAGATGCTTCCTGTGTACCACAGTTTCTTTGATCTCCCTGAGAACCCTCTGCTTCTCTTCCGATCCCCCATTTAACTTCTCATACTGAAAGTGAGAAGATACATTATTAGCAGACAAAGTTGGCAAAACAAAGCACTGGCTAGTGGCTACAAAAATTTGATGCGCAAAACTTGGGTCTATCATGAGAGGGCATGAGCTTGAGCTGAAAGTTAGTATATGAGCTCAAGCCCTTCAAGTCGTATGCTATAGTTTCAGAGTACTGTTGCCATATCTTCTCAGCACCATGAAGCTACATTTGTATGCTAAGGATGAATTAACAAATAAGTTACTCTCTCCGATCCATATTAATTGTCGCTGATTTAGTACAGTCTTACTAAATCAGCGACAATTAATATGGACCGGAGGGCGTAATTAGTTTCATTTCAAAAACTCTTCTAAAATATCTCCTTTTTTTTCTAGAATTTCTACATACAATTTGAAATATTCTAAATAGAATAAAAATCAAGATTTAATAACCTCTACATGCATGCATCCATGGAGCATTTGTTGTAGTAAATTCGTATACATAGGAATTCATGAGTTATAACACAAAAAGATGCATGTTTTTTTTTCTTCCGAGGTTTAAGATGCATCGTTTTGAGCAGCAACACATAGAACGAACTGGAATTTACCCTTTTCCACATGAAAAGAACATCAGCATCTCTTTGATTGATTGCACCCTCCAGGTCGGGCAAAAGCAGCCTGTTTGCTACATTGGAATTTGCAGGATCGAAACCTTGGTAAAGGAAAAGCTTCTCGTCCTTGAATGTCTTGTCACCATACTCCATGACATGAGAACCCTTATCGAATTCCATTGATTTTGATGTTCTCGTTTTAACCTGCCCAAGAAAACAGTGACTAGATGCCACTAACCAGTATGAAGAAAGTGTACTCGAGACTTACCACCTCGTACTGCTGCTTGAGTGTTTCCTTCTTTAGATTGTGAGTTTCACTGCAAAGTAGGATCAAATGGTTCGGAACCGCAAACACCATGGTTATAAATAACTGCTACAACAAAAATGCTCTAGCAGTGATACTTCCCAAGCGGCCAAGCCAATTAAGTCATCTTCTTTATGTATTTGCGCATCTTTGTTATTACCATTTGCAGGTGCAGTGCGACTTATGAATGGTTTATGTGTTACACAGGTAGCCAATGATCGCAATAAAACACACTTATGTTGTGCTTTCTAGTGTGATAAGACATTATTATCCAACAGAAAATACTAAAGTGTGTCTTGTAGAGAGTGATAAAGAATTTATTGTCTTGGGTCTGAATATCAGGTGACAGATACAAACTTTGAGGGTTAACAATGAAAAGAAGTCTCAACAAGAGCATTGAGCAATAATCCAAACATAACCATACCAAGTATTGTTAATGCAAATCATGCAGCTAATTAAAATCAAATATATAAAGCCCTGTAGACATATCTTTCGACAAATTTTAAAAATAATGCAGGTTTATGAGATGCCAGAAAACAGATCAGGTGCCAAGCATAATATATTACAGTTGGTGCATACCTGTCTTCCATCCAAGAAACACTGTAGATGTCTCCTAAACAGGTATCATATTCAGCAGGAGGTGATGATTTCATCCCAGGGCAGTATGCTCCCCAACTATTTTCGACCGCATTTGATGCTGTTGTAACATAAATATTAAGATCTTCTGGCAATAAACCCTCAAATATACTGCCACTTTCACACGCTTCAACATATATAATCTGCCAAAATTGTAATTCTAATTAGAGATAAGACAGTATGCATACTGTATCAGATTAAAAATACACCTTTTTTTATCTCAAGAGAGAAAGGGCAGAAAGGATACATACCATTTTTGAATAGCTTTTGGAAGCATGCTTCTCTCGTAACACTTTGATGAAGTCGCCAGCATAAATATATGGCCTGTTGGGCATACCTATAAACTTGCTGCGGTTAGCTAAGTTATACTCCCTCCGTTCCTAAGTATAAGTCTTTCTAGAAATTCCACTACGGACTACATACGTAGCAAAATGAGTGAATCTACACTGTAAAGTACGTCTATATACATCCGTATGTAATCCGCATTGAAATCTCTAAAAAGACTTATATTTAGGAACGGAGGGAGTACAAAAAAAACCAGCTAGAGAACAACGTTCAAGCAGGAGTATGCACCTAGAACACCAGGACCCCCATGATCCGCGTAATAGATGAAGATGTGGTCCTTTGATTTGCTGTTTATCACCTTCCTACTCCCTCCAGTAACCGCGGTTTTGTTCCCCAATAGAACTGCAAAGAAGTTTTCAGCGGTGACCTGTTTACCAGTGTAGTCCTGTAATGCATGTTAAGTTGGTCAGTCTTGTAGGAACACAAGTACACAACAGTATGCCTTTTGTACATCAAACAAGGCTAAAGCTAGCAATCCGTCTCCAATTAAAAAGCGCAATCTATTAGAGTTCTTGTCTGAATTAAAGGGAACACAGCCAGGTAATTATACCTTGGGAACACCAGCGTAAACATCTTCGCCTTTAGGATGGTTGATGATGACTCCAGGCCTTGGGTTGAGGTCGTTTTTGGCGATATCATCGTACATAAACACCACAATGTTCTCCTCCTTTAGGCCCCCCTTCCTCAGGATCTGGTAGGCGTGGCACACATCGGCCTGTAGGTCGTACGTGCATCAACAGCACCACAACCATTGAGCAATGAGAAAGCACTCAAAGAATTGTTCAGTGGTCGTATTTTGACGAGGTACTGATATACGAGCGGCATTGAGTTATTATGACCAAAATACAACAACAAAGCCTTTAGTCCCAAACAAGTTGGGGTAGGCTAGAGGTGAAACCCATAAGATCTCGCAACCAACTCATGGCTCTGGCACATGGATAGCAAGCTTCCACGCACCCCTGTCCATAGCTAGCTCTTTGTCGATACTCCAATCCTTCAGGTCTCTCTTAACGGACTCCTCCCATGTCAAAATTGGTCGACCCCGCCCTCTCTTGAGTTATTATGACCAAAATAATATACAAAAATCAATTATTCGCCAATGGTGCTCAGCCGGACTAAATTTATGTTCCAATCAAATGTATGCACTTAGACAGGAAGCAAGTACTACTAAACATCTGATCAGAGATTCAGACTACTTAACTACTTATCCCTATTGTAAAGAACAGAGCAAGTAACTACAAAGAACAGAGCAAAGAATGGCGTGGAACCTCCCACTGGAAAGGGAAAGTTGACCAAAAGTTTCAACATTTCAGCTCGCAGTCGCCCTAGACCCTAACAATGCTACTCGCATCCGAGGCCGCCTTCGACGGAGTCTCACCTGGTGCCGGTAGTTCCCGTAGCCAGAAGAGCCGGCAACGAGGACGGCCCACTTCGTCGCCCCTTCCTCCGCCGCCGGCGCGGCAGGGGCAGGGGCGGGGGCAGCGCCCTTCTCGGTCGGCAGCCGAATCAGCGGCTCCCAGCTCCCCTTGGCCGGATCCGCGGCGGCCGCGGCCACCGCCAGGAGCGGGAGGAATCCACAAACCCACCACGCAGACGCAGGCATCGCCGCCAGCGAGAACTAGTGCGTGACGGCGTGTGCTGGAGGAGAAAGAAAGCAGAGAGCAGCGTGATCGTGCCGGTGGGGATCGGGGCCGCATTTTATAGCCGCGGCGGCGTGCCCCCCGTGGACACGTGGTGCGCGAGGTAAGCCCTGCCCCGTGGTGCGCGGGTCGTCGCCCTGCGAAGGCGAAACGTGGGAGACGACGACGAGGCAGTTCGCTCCCGTCCCGCAGCCGATTTTGCGTGCCAGTGTCGCATTTTCTTTTGGCCTCAAAATGCACGCCTGGACTTGCTGAAAGGTGCCGTGCGATGGCGCACTCGGCGTCCGCGGTGGCGGCTAGCGTCGTGGATTCGCGGACGGTGGGAGGAAGGGTCTGTAAAGCGTCCCACGCCATTGCTTCCTCCCGGGCAAACGGACAGTTTTGCGATGCAATTTTTTTTTGAGTAATTGCGATGCAGCTTTTGCAAAAGATAACTTGTTTTTTTTTAGGGAATGCAAAAGATAACTTGTTGATGATTGAGATGATGAGAGGGAAACGTGATCAGCTCTCGCGCGGACGCCGTGACGCATGACGCGGATAGACTTCTTCAGCGAAAAGAAGAAGAACAGTTGCCAAGATTTCGGAGGAACATCATTCTCACCAGGAACAGGTTGAGCGCGTCCAACCATAGACCTACTGGTCGTGCACGAATCTGACTAACCAGTCCATCTATTCAGTGCTGTTGACATAAGAAGCAGGGCAAATCTAAAGAACTAAACTTAGGGGCGTAAACCGAACATTACTTAAAAAATTGCAAACATTGTTTCGAATTTCAAACACTTTTAAGTTACGAATAAATTTTCACAAGCACGAACAATTTTAGAAATTTCTCACCATATTTTGAAATTATGAAGAAATTTTCAAATTCGTGAACATTTTTTGAAAACATGGACGGAATTTGAATTTGTAAAAAAATCTCAAAATATAGAGCATCATTAAAATTCAGATTTTTCTTAAAACTCGATTTTTTTTAATTCCAGAACATGTTTTGGAAACATGAACATTTTTTGAATTTGTGAAAAAAATGAAAACAGGGAAAAAATAAATTCTGAGGAAAAAAATTTAAACTGAGAACAATTGGAAAATCCTGAAAAAAATAAATAAATGCGAAATGTTTTATATATGTGAATAAAAAATTGAAAAGAAAAAGGATTTTTTTCTAAACCTTAGAACATTTTTCCAAAATATGAGCATTTTTTGAATTGGTGAACAGAATTTGAAGACCAGGACAAGTTGTGAAATCCAGAACCAAATTATGAAACTGAAATCAATTAGAAAATCCACAATTTTGAAAACAGGAACATTTATTTAAACTCCCGAGCAAAAACCATAACGCGAACAATTTTTGAAACACGGACAATTTTTTTAAACTACTGAGAAAATTTAAAAATGGGAACAAATTTTGGAAATGGGAACATTTTCTGAAACTCGGAACAAAATTCAAAACGCAAGTAATTTTAGAAAACATGAACATTTCTTGAAAACGGGAACATTTTCTGAAACTCCCGAACAAAATTCAAAACACATTTAATTTTAGAACACACAAACATTTCTTGAAAATGGGAACATTTTCTAAAACTCCTGAACAAACTTTTGAAAACACGAACATTTTTTCGAATTATGTGAATAACTCTTTTTGGAAAACATGGATTTCTTGAAAATTCTGCAACTTTTGAAAAAGGAAAAGACTTGAAAAATAATAAAGCAAAAAGGAAAAAAGAAACAGAAAAAAAAAGCGAAGGAAACGGAAAATGAAAAATAGAAATAAAAAATGAGAAATGAAAATAAATATAACAAAACAAAAATCCGGTTCAGGAACTCTCTAGAAGGTTCCCTAAACCGGCCAAAAACAAGCAGGGTTCAATTTTTTTTTTGAGACAAAGCTGGGTTCATATAGAAGGGTCCCAGAAACCGCTCACGAGAAAGCTACGCGTACTATTATACATGGGCCAGCCCAATTGGTCGATAGGTCTACTTGCCTGTGCAACCCCCCCACTGTATACTGTATGACGCAGAGAGCGGCACATATGGAATTCCACGAGCCGGGAGCAGAGCTGTGGGCGGTGGTGAGTGTGGTTGGAGGCCGAAATGATATTTGAGGGGTGCTCTTTACAAAGATCACTTTCACCTTCTTAGTTTGACGCGCGAGATGTGCGACACTTATTGTAATTTGGAAGATTTTCTTTTTTGTATATTCATTTATTCAAAATGTTTTATCTCTTAAATCGTGTGTTCAAATCTTGAATCGTTTTTATCGTTGGATTTCTCGCATCAAGATCTTCAAAACTAGATCCCACGTTGATAGGTTTTGACGAACTTTTTTTCATGAAATAACCGGAGAAAAAAACCAAATCGGGAGCATGTTTTTTTCTTCCCTTTCCATAAAAGGCACGGTCGTGCTTCTCGCGAAAGCACAACCGTGCCTTTTGCGAAAGCAAAACTGTGCCTCTCACAGAAGGAAAAAAAATAGAAAACATGTTTTTTCCGTTTCCGAGAGGCATTACAGAAGCACAACCGTACCTCTCGCGGAAAGAAAAAACAGAAAACACGTTTTTTTTTCTTCCGAGAGGCACGACCGTGCTTCTCGCGAAAGCACAGTCGTGGCTCTCGCGAAAGGAAAAAACAAAAAAAAAAATTCCTGTTCTCAAGAGACACGGCCGTGCCTCTCACGAAAACATAACAGTGCCTTCTGTGGAAACAAAATTGTGCCTCTCGCGGAAGTAAAAAAAATAAAAAACGTGTATTTTTTTCGAGAGGTACGGTCATGCCTCTCGCGAAAGCAAAACCATGCCTCTTACGGAAGCAAACCCATACCTTTCGCAGAAGCAAAAAAAAAGAAAATTTTTGAATTTTTTATCCTAAACCTAAGAAAGACCGGTAGAAAACCAAAAAGTCCAAAAAAAACCGAAAAAGATCCATTTAAAGAGCAAAAAATACGTGCAGAAAAATAAATAAATAAAATTCGAAGGAAGCGTTCAGAGCGCGACACATGACGGCGATTGAGAGCGTGTCAAGTGACACGCTTTTAACCCACCCGCAAATGATCGTTATGAGGTTTTCGATGAAGCGCACGTTAACTATGCTTCCAATGAAGCTTCTCCAAGTCCTTCCTGTATGCTGCCGGTGCCTGAAGCTTCTCCACGCTGGGTCGGCCCCATCTAGCATTTTCTCTCTTCGGTGTTTTAATCCGCAGAAAGTAGGGCGCTAACCGTGATTCGAACCAGTGTACGCCTGACCTAGTACCACTGGTGTAACTACCAAGCTGCCACGCAGTATCTGTTGGAATTACAAGCAAACTACTACGAGATTTAATCTGAATAAACAAAAAATAAATTATGACAGCAATTGCAGAGATTAAGGTAATCATGCGAACTAACATAGTAGATGAACAAATCACATCTAGGGCACATACTAGAAACATGAATTCTATCACAATCTCGAATAAAAAGGATAGAATCACATATGGTGCGGGAACAACACCGCCAGTGTTAACGTTGCCTCCCATGTCGTCGAGGATGAGGTTGCCGAGGTCAAGGAAGAAGTCATCGCTGCCAACAGTCGCGCGAGTGCGTTCCTCAAAAACATGATCGCCCCTCTCCCGTACAGGATCGCGAGAGGCGAGGTTCCGGAGGCCTGCTGTCTCTTCTCCCGGTGCACGCCTAAAATAGGGATGGAGAAGACTTGCTTGGCGGCGCAATGATCTGGAATGGTGGTGTGAAATCATACGAAGCGGCGGCGGCTAGGATAGACGTCTGCCTGACTATATAGTGCGGGCCGGGTAGGTCGTGGGAGTGACACATTAATTTTCCCGAGTAGCAAAAATATAGACAACGTGCATAGCTTTGTACTCGGTTCGGCTCAATCCCGCAACCTGCGGCGCGTCGTGACGAGGCGAGCGAGGAGGAAGAGCACGCGTGTAGGTCTTATCTTCTCATGCTTATACAAGTGGTAGAAGAGCTCACCTTATAAAGAGGTGCAACTCTTACTCAACTTCTGTGGTGGGACTAAACTTTAGTCTCACTCACTCCACTCACATGTGTGCATGAATGGGCCAAGAGAATTTCAAAATTTTAGTTAGGCTTTGGGTCAAAGGCTTACTAGCAAAATTCCAACATAATCTCGCAAGATTGAAATGTTTCTATCTGTTATTCTTTCTTTTCCCCTTTTTCTTTTACCTATTTCTTTCTGTCTTTTTCTCTTCTTCCTGGTTTGATGAATTGTTTGAAAATATGTGAATTTTTTTCAAATTGATGATTTTTTTAGATTTGTGAACCTTTTTTATATTCCTAGAACCTTTCTCAAAAAATCGATGAAATATTTTCAAATCCGATGATTTTTTTAGATTCATTGAACCTTTTCAAAACCGACAAACTTTTTTTAAATTCGGTGAACTATTTGTTCAAAATTCGTGAATATTTTTTAATTCGTAAACTTTTTCATTTTTTTAATTTTTATATTAATCATCATGAACAAAGTTGACTATATTTTAATGTTTGTACTAAAAGAGGGGTCAAATAGGATTATTTTCCTCGTCACATGCAACAAATTCAGCCTAGTCTAGTGGAAAAGCTTGAAGCTCTTGACTTAGGTGAGCAGAGATCGATTAGCCAGGAGCGCTAGCCGGCGTGTACATCGCCGATTAGGAGATCCCCTTGCGCATCATGGAGACGAAGGTCGAATGGCCTGGCCGAGTCATGGTTTTGGGCAGATTAGGCTGCCAGCAAAAGCCGTACTTCTTTTGTGGCCGGAGTCATTGATGGCGATTTCTATGAGCACCATAACCTTGTTGAAGGCATTGATGTAGCATTCCTTCCCCCACGTCCCTAACATGCTACGGTGGAAACCCTAGATCCGTTCTTTTGGATCAGGCAATGGCATCGCTGTTGGCTTTGATAAGCATCGCGTTTTCGCTTGGGGCATCGTCTTGGAGTTGGACTCGATCGGAGAAACTTGGGACTTGTTAATGTGGTCGGCGGTGGCTCACACGACATCTCCGTGGAAGCGGCAGAAGCTCCTCCACTGTAATGTGTGCCTGGCAAGTTATGTTGCCAACCTCATGGGGTCGAAGCAGGATAGGTTCGCTCTATCGGACATACCATTCCTCTTCGGCGGCGTCGAGATACGCGGATATGTTTGTGACAACTCATAGTGACACAACGGTTTTCGATGTGCACTCTGGTAGCGGCGAAAGCGCTCGATTATTTGGCGGTGTGTGTTGTGGGGTGTTGTCCTTCTAACATTTTCTATGTATTGTTGTGCTTTAGGTGCTATTTAGGGTTTTCACCTCGGTTTCCTCAATAACCGAGCAACCCTTTTTTATTTTTTTGGCACTCGTCTTATGCAGTGCATTCCTTTTGGGATGTTACCTGTAATATGCTCCTTTCGATTCAATTGATTTGATTGCTCTCCTACAAACACTGAAAAAAGAACAAACAATGTAGATAAAAATATCAAAACTAATCATACCATCTCATCAATATTATTATTCTCATGTATATTAGTGACCAGTGATGCTTTGGATGTAATCAACCACAATGTCGTGCTCCTCACCAACTATGGCGGTCAGGGCATCTCCAAGGGTTATCCATCAAATGCTTGTGTTAAATGTTCGTGAGACGTAGGGTCGTGTCCGCTTGTAGAAAAACATGGTGACAAAGGGCGTCCCCAAATTGTCCGCTACCCATTGTCCCAAACTCCTGACATTTGACAAAACAGTTGGTGTGCGCCATCCAGTGAGACGACACCAGTGCGGCAATGGCACATGAGATCGAGCTGCCCCCTCCCCCAACGTTGCAGCTTTATCATGGACACCATTAAGTTGTCACAACATTGTACGTAGAGTAGGCGCTCAAGGTGAAGCGTCGCGCCAACAAGAGAATATGAGAAGTCGATGTGAAGGCGAAGACGAAGACGAAGGCCCAGAAGACCATTGTGTTGAGTAGATATTCACCAGCAGCGCTATGTCTCGCTTATAGCGAGACCTAGCGTGCTCTCGCGTCAGGCACCTCCCTAAATGGGCCTGCCCATGCGCGCAGGAGGCCAAGACCTGTTTTTCATGTTTTATGTTTTGTTTTTCCCTTCATTTCTCTACTTTTGTTTATACTTTCAAATATTCTAAATAAATATTTTTTAAACACTTTACATAAACGTTTTTGAAAAATGTTGTTACCCAAGCATTTAAAAATGTTAAATGTGTCTAAAGAAAATGTTTCTAATGTGTACCAAAAACATACAATATGTGCGAAAAAAGTCTATCATGTATTTAAAAAAATGTTTATTAAACATTTGAAAAAATGTTAAACAAGTATACGAAAAATGTTAATCAAGCATTTGATAAATTTCAAATGTGTATAGAAAAAATGTTGACTACATATTAAAAAAATGTAAAACGTGTCTTTGAAAAATGTTAATCAAGCATTTGAAAATGTTAAATGTGCGTAGAAAAAGATTTTGACCATGTATTAAAAAATGATAATCTTGTATTTGAAAAATATTAATCAAGCATTTGAAAAATGTTTAAAATGTGTGTAGAAAAAAAAACTGACCATGTATTCAAAAAATGTTAACCAAGCATTTGATTTTCTTATTTAAAGTGTGCATAGAAAAAAAGCTGATCATGTATTAAAAAAATGTTAACGAAGCATTTGAAAAATGTTAAATGTGTACAAAGAAAATGTTTCTCATGTATACAAAAAATATACAATGTGTTTGAAAATAGTTGATCATGTATTTAGAAAATATTAATCAAGCAATTGAAAAACTGTTACACAAGTATTTGAAAAAAATTAATCAAGCATTTGAAAAATATTTAATGTGTATAAAAATGTTGATCATGTATTAAAAAAATGTTCCATCACACAATTATGATCAATCGTCGTGCATCCATCTAGTGGTGGAAGACCATGTATTAAAAATGTTAATGAAAAGTGGAAGATCGGTACTACAGTTACCAGAGTCGTCGCGCATCCATCTAATGGTGCATGTGTCCCAATTCTAGAAGGCGATTGGCTCGAAGGACACTATAAGTACTGATCTTCTACTTGTTATGAGCACAGTTGATTGGTGTTCCAAAGGTGTAGTCGAGCGCAGTTTGCGGGGAGTGTCTAGTGTGTGGGGCCAGAAGCAAGTTCCGCAAGTTCTTCTTCATTGTTAAGGCATGCCTATTAATTGGCGCACTTGGGAAAATCTCTACACAATGGTGAACAAGTTGCCATAGGCACCAGCTTGGGGGTAAGCTGGCCCTCGAGGAGAGGGGAGTTAAATAGTTAATGTCATGACACTGTACCTAGCGCATGCGCTCATAATGAAGCGTCGCACTGACAATATGTGAAATATGAGAAGTCCATCCGAAGGTGAAGGCGGAGACCCAGAAGACGATCCAGGAGCCCATGGCCCATTGTGTTGAGTAGATAGTCACCCGCCTGGCATGTGGGTGAGGCATCATTGAGTATTCAAAACTTGTACCCATTTGGGCATCTCTCTCCTTCCGCCTCCGAGCTAAGTTTGTGATTCACCCGAATTCCAGCATGATGCCATGGAACCTTATATCCAATTGACAATCAAGTGATAATTCAGAGTGGGGTTGTGACACAAGCAGTCGATTGGTAGCTCAACATGGTGTGGCGTGTCCGCATGTGCCGTTGTAAGCGAGGTAGCACAACCGTTGTGGGTCCCATATCAGCCGCACCATGTCAAGGCTCTCAAGAAAAAAGCCATGAAATTAGGAAAAAGAAAAGAAAAAAAAGAATTAACAAAGGAAAAAAAGAACAATAAAACAAAGAATCCGGACAAGGAAAAAAAAGAACGCGCTATTGGGCCACAACCTGCGGCGAGTTAAAGCCCAGAACGGACTCCTCGTCTCGGCGAAGGAAAAGTTTCCGGACTCTGAATTTGAAGCGGACCCGAGCCAAGCTCACGAGCGGTCTCGCGCGAGTTCCCGTTCCCCCCTACCTCAGGAACCTTCCAGAATCGCTCCTTTTTTCCCCGTAAAAAAATACAACTTCCAGAATCGTTGAGATCGGACGGCCGCCGTCGGGAACCTTCTCCCCCCAATATAATCCCCCTCCTCCGCGACGCCTCCCCCCATCGAACTCCGCCAGTCGATTCCAATCCGACGATCCCGAGCCCCCCGCATCCCGATCGATCGCAACCCAAGCGGACGCAGCCGGCCATCCAGCCAACCAATCGCGATGGCCGCCGACGAGGCCAAGGCGAAGGGCAACGCGGCGTTCTCGGCCGGCCGCTTCGAGGAGGCGGCGGGCCACTTCGGCGACGCCATCGCGCTCGCCCCCGACAACCACGTCCTCTTCTCCAACCGCTCGGCGGCCTACGCCTCGCTCCACCGCTACAAGGAGGCGCTCGCCGACGCCGAGCGGACCGTCGCGCTCAGGCCCGACTGGGCCAAGGGCTACTCCCGCCTCGGCGCCGCGCGTCTCGGGTCGGGCGACGCCGCGGGCGCCGTCGAGGCCTACGAGAAGGGCCTCGCCCTCGACCCCTCCAACGCCGCCCTCAAGGACGGGCTCGCCCAGGCCCGGTCGGCGGCCCTCCCCCGCCGCCCGGCCTCCGGCGCCGACGCCATTGGCAAGATTTTCCAGGGGCCCGACCTCTGGAGCAAGATCGCCGCCGACCCCACCACGCGCGCCTACCTCGACCAGCCCGACTTCATGCAGATGCTGCGCGATCTGCAGCGGAACCCAGGCAACCTCAACAACTACCTCTCCGACCCCCGCATGATGCAGGTGCTCAGCCTCATGCTCAACATCAAGGTCCAGAACCAGAACAATGACGCCTCCGAGCCGGCGCCGGCGCCGACGCCGGCCAAGTCGTCCCCGCCGCCGCCACAGAAGCAGCCCGAGACCAAGCCGAGAGAGCCGGAGCCCGAACCTGTGGAGATGACCGACGAGGAGAAGGAACGGAAGGAGAGGAAGGCGGCGGCCCAGAAGGAGAAGGAGGCGGGGAACGCCGCTTACAAAAAGAAGGATTTCGAGACGGCGATCCAGCACTACACAAAAGCCATGGAGCTTGACGACGAGGACATCTCCTACCTCACAAACCGCGCCGCCGTTTACCTTGAGATGGGACAGGTGAGAATCCTCCTCGTTTGGCATTGGTAATTTCCTCTAATGTTTGTTACAGAGTCCTAATTTTAAACCTGTTTAAATTGCTTGTGTGATTCTGTAGCAGAATCTTAGAAATTTTTAAATACACTTATTTAAAATTCTGTAGGAGAATCTTAGAAATTTCCAAATACACTTGTTTAAATTGCTTGTATGATTCTGTAGCAGAATCTTAGAAATTTCTAAATGCACTTGTTTAAATTGCTTGTGTGATTCTGTAGCAGAATCTTAGAAATTTCTAAATACACTTGTTGAAATTGTTTGTGTGATTCTGTAGCAGAATCTTAGAAATTTCTAAGTACATTAGATAGAGAATACTGGTTGTTAGAATGATTTCACTGTAGAGGCGATCCTTGCACATTCAGTATTTAATAACAACAGTGAATTTACCTCTATATATCTGCTTCTTTTACCCTTTTGGGGCTTGGACTTGCTCTGTATACTTATTATATTAGTTTATTAGGCTTATGGGGCTTGAATCAACTGCAAATTTCGTAAAATCAGTAGTGTTCGTTACCTAGGATTTTTCACTGCCACATGTTCTAACTTAACTCTCTCGAATTACTTATGCCTGTGGTGATTTGAGAGCTAATATTCTGTTTCTCCAAATACCAGTACGATGATTGCATTAAGGATTGTGACACGGCTGTTGAGAGGGGAAGGGAACTTCGTGCTGACTTCAAGATGGTTTCGAGGGCACTCACAAGGAAAGGAACTGCTCTTGCTAAACTTGCCAAGTCTTCCAAAGACTACGATGTTGCCATTGAGACTTTCCAGAAGGCTCTGACTGAGCATCGAAACCCAGATACCCTGAAAAGACTAAATGATGCTGAACGAGCAAAGAAGGAGCTCGAGCAACAAGAGTACTATGATCCAAAAATTGCTGACGAGGAGCGAGAGAAAGGTAAGCTGAGTGAATTCTACTGTTTGACACTTAACACTGCTTTTCTGCCCCTAATGATCTGCGGGTGTTGATGATGAGGTTTTCTGTTCTTGCTACTGCTCTGCAGGTAATGAGTTCTTTAAGCAGCAAAAATACCCAGAAGCAGTGAAGCATTACACTGAAGCGCTCAGGAGAAACCCGAAGGATCCGAAGGTAATTCCTTGATGTTTTATGTTCAACTGCTTGAGCTGAAAATTTCTGTGAAGACGTTTCACCAGTTTCATTGGTAAATTTGATGGGAAGAATATTGTTTACATCTGACCAGAAACCCGCATATAAGAATATTAATCAAATTATGCGGTGAGCATATGGAAACTGCACATATATGTGCTTTCTGATGAATTAGTCTGTATAGTTGATGACTGCTAAGCGGCTACGTGGATTTTATATTTCAGGTTTACAGCAACAGGGCTGCCTGTTACACCAAGCTGGGTGCCATGCCTGAAGGTCTCAAGGATGCCGAGAAGTGCATCGAGCTAGATCCTACATTCTCCAAGGGATACACCAGGAAGGGTGCAATCCAGTTTTTCATGAAAGAATACGACAAAGCAATGGAAACTTATCAGGAAGGCCTAAAGCATGATCCGAGTAACCAGGAGCTGCTTGATGGTGTAAAGAGGTAAGTAACACTGAAAGAGATCATCAATCAGTCTTCGAATTCCACCAAGCAGCTCCTAACCGTGGCTGTCCCTTCTCAGATGTATTCAGCAGATCAACAAGGCGAACAGAGGCGAACTTACCCCGGAGGAACTGAAGGAGAGACAGGGCAAGGCTATGCAGGACCCTGAAATCCAGAACATCCTGACGGACCCTGTCATGCGGCAGGTAAGTTCATCATGAGATGTCTGTTTACTCTTTCTTGAGCCAGAGCTTGGTTTGCGAACGATGCCATAACTTTGAGGTGTTTGTTGTCTGCAGGTGTTGATTGATTTCCAGGAGAATCCAAGGGCTGCTCAGGAGCATCTCAAGAACCCTGGTGTTAAGCAAAAGATCCAGAAGCTCGTGAGCGCAGGGATAGTCCAGATGAAGTAGACCTAAATGCTGAGTGTCGGAGGTTTAGTTAGTTGGTTGACATTTTCTTGTCCGGGGTCAATTTTCCTCCGGATTTGGGTTTGTGTAAAAGTACATTTCGTGGTGGTTCTTAATTGGCTTGCTTGTGATGTGATACTTCACCTCGTCCGAAATTTGGTCTACTTTCCGTCGTCAATCGCTCTTCGGAGCTTAGTCCCAAACACTAGTGACGTGCTCTTCGCGTCTTGATGATTTGACCAAAGACAAATTTTGTAAAATTTCACTAGTTTTGTAGGAGAAGATATCAACACCCACACTATGAAATCAATACTATTGGATGCATGATGAAATTAATTTCCGTAACAGTATTGTAGGAGTGGATGTTAATATTTTTTGCTTTAAAGTTAGTCAAATTTTATAAAAATTAACTTTGATCAAATTTTATTTGCGGACTAAAAAAAATAGAGTGAGTACAAAACAAAACCATCCTTAATACAACCTCCTTCGTCCCAAATTATGTATTCGTGTATCTAACACTATCTCAACTTTATATACTAATTATTAAAGTTTTTTTTTTCGAAAAGGGGACTTCCCGGCCTCTGCATCAGAACGATGCATATGGCCATATTTATAGATAAATAATGAGATTCAACAAGATTTTATAGTCTGAAAACAAAATAACAACAAGATCACAAAAAAGCCACAACGCTAAAAATAATAGGCCAAAAAACCACAACCGGCTGGCATAACAAAGATAGGTAAACTAATCGCCTATCCTATTACATGACCGCCATCCAAACCGATTGAAGATATCCCGCGCTATCATCTCTCAGCGGATAGATCCAGTAACCAAACGCTCCTTGGCCTTCGTCGGAGTGAGTAACGACCACATACGAATGAGAGCAGTAGCCCAGAATAAAACGTGCAAAAAATAAATATTTATTGTTCTGTTAAAAGCCAAATCATTCTACAGTTCCAAATTACCCACAACAAAGCACATACTCCTACGCGAATGTGTCTAGCTATTTCGAACTCTATCCCAACAAGCCACGTTTCAAGTAACGTACTGACCGAATTCGGAGGAGTAATGTTAAAAGCAATATGCACCGTGTGCCACAAAACTCTCGCCAACGGCAGTCAAAGAAGAGGTGCTTGATAGTTTCGTCCCGATCACAAAAACTACACCTAGTAGATCCTGTCCAGTTGCGCTTAACCAAATTATTCTTTGTTAAAATGACTTGTTTATGTACAAACCATATAAACACTTTAATTTTTAAAAAAACTTTGACTTTCCAAACATCTTTGGAACTAGGAATAGCACTAGAGTTAATGACATCGATATACATCGACTTAACCGTGAACTCTCCATACCTAGTAAGCATCCAACACAACTGATCGGGCTGATGAGATAGCTGAACCTCCATCAGTCTACTCACCAAATAAAGACATGCTTCCCACCGGTCGCCAACGAGCACCCTCCTAAACTGAATATTAAGGGGAATGGACTGCATAATCGTTGCAACAAGAGCATCACGTCGTTGAACAATACGATACAGGGATGGATACTGAAGCGCCAACGGCGTTTCACTAAGCCAAGTATTTTCCGAGAAGCGAGTGGTGTTGCCACTACTGACTATAAACTTTGTTCTATTAAAGAAGGCAGTTTCTTCTAAAATGGCGAGTCAGTCGGTCTCACTGTCGCCTGGGACGAAGTCTTGAACTGCAGATACTTACTACGGAGAATCTGCGCCCACGTGGCCTCAGTCTCAACTAATAACTTATACAGCCACTTGCTGAGACACTTATTAAAGTTAAGACACTTATTTTGAGATAAAGTGAATACTCATTACGTTCCAATATAAGTGTCAACTTTGTGTACGGAGGGAGTACAAGCTTAAGCTTATCAACGGAATTTCTGATAAACAATTATTTGCCCCTTGCTACTTGCTACCTGCTTCAGACTGTTTGCAATGTGGAAAAAAATGATCAGATTGGCCACTGTTTTGGGATGTCAGCAAGGATCTTTTCCTTTCACATATGTTGCAAGGATTCATATCTTGGATGTGCCTATGGGCAGTGGCGAATATAGGACGTAATTTCAAGGCAGGCTCAACTTCAAGGATAGTAATTTTTTGATGTTGGATGCCATTTTATGCGCTGCACCTAACTACTAGTGTGCTGATCATTGGTGGTGTTTTTGTGTGTGGCAAATTTTAAGGGTAGGCTAGAGCCTATTGAAGCCTGTTGAGTAGAATCGCCACTGCCTATGGGAACCTCCAAGCCTGGAATTGAAGATTTCGAACCCATCAGGTGCTTCACCTTCCTTGTGATGGTAGACTTCTGCTCCTCAAGTCTGACGGAATTCCTCTCGTTATGGCTAAGAGTAAGCACGTGGGAGCTTGAGGTGGATGTGCTGGATAAGATCTCTTGGGCCTGGGAGACAAATGGAAAATACTCGGTAAGGTCGGCATACACGGCATAGTTTTGGGGCCATACTGTGGAGCCACTGGCGGAGCTGACTTGGACATCCAGGGCACCATCCACTTGCAAGTTCTTCACTTGGCTTACTCTATGAAACCGGTGCTGGACCTCGGATAGACTTGTGAGGAGAGGGTTATTGCATTAGGATTAGGATGCATGCCCCCTATGTGACCAGGAGGAGGAAACGATTAATCATGTGCTGCTAACGTGCGTGTTTGCTAGATCAACATGGGCAGTGGTATGTGACGCTCTAGGAAAGCCGGAGTGGAGGCCGACGGCACAAGACTCCCTTCACTCATGGCTTTGGGATAAGCAAGGGCCCAACAACCTACGAAGGAAGGATCTGCATACCACCATCTTTATTCTTACATTTTGGGAGCTGTGGAAACATCGAAATTCTATTGTGTTCGACGGAGCATCCCCTTCGATGGAGGTGCTTCTAGGTAGAGTGTGGACCGAAGGCATGACTTGATCGGTAGCTGGGAAGTTTAAAGGGAATGTAGACCCCTTCTTTCATAGTTTACATAGGTGGGCGAGTAGAGAGGAGTAAAGTGTAACGAACTTGTGTAATCCTTGGTGGAGGCATTCTTTTGCCTTTCTTCTTTAATATATAATATGTACACTCGTGCATATTGGAGAAAAAAAACTTCATGTGCTCTCTTGCATTGCCTGCTGCTGCTGTGGTCCATCAAATTACTACCTCAGAGGTACTCAAAACACTGCCTATGGAGGAAATCTGAGATGGAAGATCAAGGGATTGCTTTGATAGCCTCGGACAAGGTATGTAGGCCTAAAAATCAAAGTGGGCCTGGAATACTGGATGTGGCTATAACAAGGCCCTACTTATCAAGCACCTATATTTTTTAATAAAGAATATTTGTATTGGGAAAAATATTACCCCTCAAGGTCAATTAAAATGATCGTTCTGGTGAAAAGATATTCTCAAGTTGCTCCCCTATTTAAGAAAGTGGCCTCCTATGAGAAGGATTTTAATACTGTTTTGGCATGAGAATTGGTGTGAGGAGATCTTATCCAAGAAATATCCCGAGCTACGTTCCTTTGTCAAGAATGGAAGTGACTCTTTGTCACTTGTTATGGCTACTCCAAATAAGGGATGCGGCTTCAGTGCCGTAAAGGCACCTGCCTTTGTGCCTATGACACAAAGGCAGGTGCCTTAAGGTGTCGAAGGGCAGTCCCTAGATAAGGCCAGCAACAGGTGACTCTTTCTCAATGTGATTGTTGTTTTGATGCTCGATCCATAGGAATTTCGTGGTATGATGTTTTTTTCTACTTCTTGAATATGATTAGTGTTCCCTTCTTATAGGGCTCGATGCAGAGAAAATTACTGGATTTTTTTATAGGATCTGGATCCTTGTGAGATCATAAGTTTTGCACTTTATTTAAAAGAATTCTCATCCACCCAAATATCTTTACAAATGAATTGTTTTTTCTGAGGTTCTCTAACAATCCTAGTGTTATCCCATGGTGTTAAAGAGGACGTATGTCACTCCAATGCTATGTTTTTCTAGACCTGAAAAAAAATCGAATACGGTGCCTCGCAGGAGTTTCGTCCTGCAAAGCAGCAACAAGAATCCAACGAAAGCGCATCACCTCAGGATGTTCAACGATATATAATCACTTATAGCGGGTTGCAAGGTCGTCCCAACAATGCTGCTTCACCTGCCACAAAACCAAATCCTAACAACTTGCATCATGATCCTCCAGACAAGTTCTTTTAGAATATACCCTTGGCCTCTCCATCTGAGTGATGCATGCAGCCATTTTATTAATTATTTGCAAAGACCTTACAAAATAATACATCAGTAAGTCTGAAGCCACCATGTTGGCAACACCTGTCGCTACTCCTATCCCCTTGATGAAGGGGTGCCTATTGTCCAAGCCAAATACTAAATAGACATCGCATCAAAGCCTAACATCTAAAGCCAGATGCCTCGGCCAAACCACAATGCCGGGACTAGGTCACACTCCGGTCCGGTGGACTCTCGGAAGCTGCCGCCGCTGTCTTCCACCGATCCATCTCAGAGCAGGTACTGATGCACCAACCTTGCCAGGCCTGCCGTCGACGCCACCACGACACCAGACAATGCCACCATCCTGCGTGTATCCATCCACACGCGTCCGTCGCTGAAACTCTGCAGTGCCATGATGTCGGGATCTGTCGGCGGCCTTGCGGTAGATGTAACACCACCCCTCCTCTTGTCCCCTCCAGCCAACACTTGCTCCAAAACGATGCACCCACGAGGGAGAACGATACCAAGGCGTTGTCATCGCCCGATCCGGTAGATCCAAATCCGGGGTTCCCCCGGAACATCCCAATCGAGTTGACGCAACCTGCAACAACGATGCCCCGAGAAGGAAACGATGTCAGAGACACCGCCATCGTCTACCAAGACCGCAATCAGGCACGGTTTTCACCAAAAGTCACGTCGCCCTGATCATGTGGCTGGGTGGAACCGCGCGGAGCTTCGCTATGAAGACGTATGCCGCCGCCGATTCTCCGGCGGAGATCCTCCATCCCC